TCTTCTTCCGTAAAGCGCGGTGGGCTGATCACGATGCCAAATATATGTGGACCAGGTGCTGAATAGTCCAGACACTTAACAATTCTTTTCAGCAGTTCTTCCTCCCCAAGGCGAGTGTCCATAAAACCCGGTGTGTCAATCACCACAACGCTTCTTCCTCGATCGTCTGTTCGACCAAAAGCACATTCTATTGTATCAGACTTGAAGCTTAAATTCGTTGGAAATGTATTTTTTGCCAGGAGCGTATTTCCAGTGGAACTTTTACCCACCCCTGTCTTTCCTAGGAGAACGATACGCAAATCTGAAATTTCAAAAAACTACCCTTAAATGTTACCATATTGTGTATTGCCCTTAATACTAACTACTTATAGATTGACATACTAATAAGCATTTCCGGGAAGTGTCCAATGCATCTTATGTAAAGATAATGTCGATGACACTGTTCAACATTGACTTAAAGAATGCTCTTTCTTTGATAAAGAGAGTAAACACATTTATAGTAAATTAGACAAATACACTGAGAATGTTTTCTTATTCACGCCTCGGCCCCTCACAATCTATGTAAATAATTATGTTGAATTATATAAAAATAAATAATAATAACCTAAAAAATGTGTTTAATCATTTATATTCAGAAATTGGAAAAACAATCTTTCTTTTATGTAAGTTCATGCTTTTTTGGTTAATGTAGGCGCGATCCACTTTATATTGAAGATGAACTGGTTAAACACATTTAAACAAAGTTTTTTTAACCTCACATAAAATAACTATTCTAGATATTAATAAACATGTATGTGATTGACTGTAGACGCACCTTAAAATTTTCAGTGGGATACTGATATAAAGGTGTATGTCTGAATATTAAATAGATAAATATTGTTTTGTTCTTTATTAGTACCCTGGACAGGTTGAATGATGCAGTCGTGTTTTTACTCTATATTTGCAATGGAACAACCATTCTTATTGAAATTTTCAAGATTTATTCTGGAGACAATTTCCAACATGGAAAATAAATATTTTATCAAAATTTCCGATTTTATGATTTTGACAGGCTTTTTTCAAAAACACTACACTGTCAATAAAATACAGGTTTTGCTTGAACAATTGAACTTTTAACGTCATTTCAAATATTGTCTGGCTATTGAATTTTCGGCCCCCTAAAGTCTTTCCAGATATATCTGTTGCCATATTTATAATTATGAGTGATTATTGTTCTTCACTTTGTCATATTCGATATTATTACAGTGTATTAGGCCAATAAAAACGTGTCATTCTGGGTCTCGTTTTGTGAAGCGTTCCCTAGATTAAGTCCAGATAGAGGAGGTCAATCTTCTTCTCCACGGACATAAAAGTAAAGCATTACGAATCTCCAATTTCAAGTATTCCCAGCATTAGATTCTTCAGAGATGTTAATATAGCTGTGTTAAATGTTATCATGAAATTTTCAGGGAGACCTGACATTTTCAAAGCATGGTCCAATTTACGTGCCAGGGGTTGCATGCTGAGTGACAGTGGCGGAAAACCCCAGTGGTTAAAAAGGTGCGTTATCAGAGGACCAAGAGTGATAATTTTAGTGGCTTAATGCACTGTATAACAAAAATGAATAACAATTAAGCGATAATTAATATGGCATCAAATACATCTGGAAAGAGTTTAGGCGGCCGAAGTATCAATAGCTAGACAATTTTTAAAATGACGTTAAAAGTTTAATTGTTCAAGCAAAACCTGCATTTCATTGACAGTGGAGTGTTTTTGAAAAAAGCCTTTAAAAATCATAAAATTAGGAATTTTGTTCAAATATTTTTTTCAATGTTGGAAATTGTCTCCAGAATAAAATATGAAAAGGACGATTCTCGTTTTGGAGAACAGTCTCCTGGGCTAATAATTTTTTCATGAAAAATATAGAAATATTACCCAAATTAAACTTTGAATATTCAAAAGAGGACATTTAAATCTACAAGATGTAAAAAAACAAATTGGTCTGAAGTAGGGATAACGCTCAATTTGACCGATTCAATAAAATACAAGTCTCGATTTGGGGAAAGAAGTTCATCAGTGTACTGCGCTAATATTTTTTGCGAAAAATCTAGAAATATTACCCAAATTAAATTATGACTATTTAAAATAAGACATTCAAATCTATGTTATGTAAAAAATCAATTTTGTCCGAAGCAGGGATAATGCTCATTTAGATTGAAGAACTTCGTTCTCCAAACCGAGAATCGTCCTTTCAATAAGAATGGTTGTTCTATTGCAAATATAGAGTAAAAACACGACAGCATCATTCAACCTGTCCGGAGTACTAGATATCGTTAACTCTTGTGTGGTCCCATGTTATTGTGTGCTAGGGGCACAGAAGCCCAACAATTGCGTTCGTGAATTCCTGTGTGAGGGGCAAATAACCCCATAGTACTGGTCAATCAAGTGTAACATCGTACATTCTTGTATAATGACCAAATAAACATATAGTAGCTTCCGATCTTGTGTTGGTTCATGCAATTCCGTATAAGGGGCATGGGCCTTATATTGGCGTTCGATTTTGAATGAATCCTGTCATAGGGGGGATATAAACCTTACACTACCATTCAATTTTGCACGACATCATGTAAGGGGAATGGGCCTTATATTGACGTTCGATCTTGAATCAATCCTGTCATAGGTGGATATAAACCTTACAATACCATTATGAGATCATGCAATTCTATGTGATATCTTTGCGATATTCAGCATAATATATACAGGGTGTCAAATAAGTCCCGTCCCCCCTGCTACAGCTAAAACCTTAACAGACGGTACCTAGTGTGAAATACCATTGGAAAGATCATCCAAAGTTGTGTTAACTCACCAACTCTCAAGTATTTTGGATGACATTTACCTATATTTTTATAATGTCTTTTATAGTTAACGTGCCCTCCTTTAAGTAGCTTTTTGTGTCAAAATGACAAGGATATGACCTCAGAAAAACGTCAAAAGGTTAATCTTTTTCGCATTCCACTTGTTACAAAAAGGTTTTCACCACTTTCCTTGCACCTCTATTTTCTACACATGTAACCCTATCCAGAAATTGGTAAAATTCATCACCATAAACATAAGTCATCTTTTGGTCCCTTGACCTTTTTATACCAGATTCTTAAAATCCTGCCAAATATGCCAAATTGCCATGTTTCTAGGCATATGGTCACCTCAATTGATACACTGTAAAAATTTGTGAAATTGATTGACATGTGTCAGATATACGCCAATCAACGTAACTTTGGAAGACCTTTCCAATGATATATCACACTTGGTACCAAATATCTTGGTTTTGGGTGTAGAGGGGGGACGGGACTTATTTGACACCCTGTATAGTACTACGCGGAGAAGGTCGGTTCAAATTGTTATTTAGGATATTTCAAAAGTAAGTTTCTATTTTTACACTTTTTAAAAAGAATGACAATGTTAGAGAAGCGCTTCTTACCGGCATGTTCCCTTTGAGATTATTTAGTTAGAAAAATTAAAATACCGAAATCATAAACATTAACTTTGCTTGGATTTGGTTATACAAAAAGTTATCCATATAAAGTTATTGTAGAAATGATGGATACAATCCTATGACTTCTTTTAAAAAAATTAATGAATTTGATGAATGAATGAATATGAATAGACACGATATCCAAAACGTTCACAAACACCATTCATAACAACAAATAATATGTGTTCGTGGCAAAAGTAAACAAACAGATCTTTAAAATACGAAACCAATTGATCTTGCAAGAGACTGGTTTGATAAACGTTTGTTTACTGTCAATGGTTAAAATGACACGTCTATGTAAATGATTTAATATTATAGGATGCATTTGATCATATCAACTGCATATTTGAATTTGTAGAATTAAACCAAGTGGCCGTGGCTTTCTGAATTTAAGCAATAGCAAGTCAATTCAAATATGATTTTGTAAAACTATTGATTAGTGTTGATGAATAACAAAATCCAAAACAATATCTCAAATCATTACAGATTGAACATAGAAATCTAAATTCTTCATATTTTCGCTTGCTGGGCCTAGGTATGCTGCATTCTACAAATATGGGTGTTTTTAGCCCCATAATATATAATATTACATAATATTGTTTTTGTATTTGTAAAATATATATACACATGTAATGTATTATTTGTGAAAAATTAATACAAGCAAATTGAGCCACCAACCGCATTGTTACATGTTGTTCTTTCTAAGTGGGTAACGTTATAGTTTCACATTATAGCAACGTGATATAGAGGGGGGACGGGACTTATTTGACACCCTGTATAGTACTACGCGGAGAAGGTCGGTTCAAATTGTTATTTAGGATATTTCAAAAGTAAGTTTCTATTTTTACACTTTTTAAAAAGAATGACAATGTTAGAGAAGCGCTTCTTACCGGCATGTTCCCTTTGAGATTATTTAGTTAGAAAAATTAAAATACCGAAATCATAAACATTAACTTTGCTTGGATTTGGTTATACAAAAAGTTATCCATATAAAGTTATTGTAGAAAATGATGGATACAATCCTATGACTTCTTTTAAAAAATTAATGAATTTGATGAATGAATGAATATGAATAGACACGATATCCAAAACGTTCACAAACACCATTCATAACAACAAATAATATGTGTTCATGGCAAAAGTAAACAAACAGATCTTTAAAATACGAAAACAATTGATCTTGCAAGAGACTGGTTTGATAAACGTTTGTTTACTGTCAATGGTTAAAATGACACGTCTATGTAAATGATTTAATATTATAGGATGCATTTGATCATATCAACTGCATATTTGAATTTGTAGAATTAAACCAAGTGGCCGTGGCTTTCTGAATTTAAGCAATAGCAAGTCAATTCAAATATGATTTTGTAAAACTATTGATTAGTGTTTATGAATAACAAAATCCAAAACAATATCTCAAATCATTACAGATTGAACATAGAAATCTAAATTCTTCATATTTTCGCTTGCTGGGTCTAGGTATGCTGCATTCTACAAATATGGGTGTTTTTAGCCCCATAATATATAATATTACATAATATTGTTTTTGTTTTTGTAAAATATATATACACATGTAATGTATTATTTGTGAAAAATTAATACAAGCAAATTGAGCCACCAACCGCATTGTTACATGTTGTTCTTTCTAATTGGGTAACGTTATAGTTTCACATTATAGCAACGTGATATAAAATAAATAACAGGCGAGATGCAATACACAGCTGCTCCCCTTGAACTTTGACTTGAACGTACAATGGCGAGCAATCAGAAAAAGAGATGTTCTTTTTATTTTGTGTTTTTATTGGAATTTCAGCATTTAATTATTTGTACCTAACTTCGGATATCATTCATTGTAAAGAAGCCCTGCGACCTAACATGAAGGTATATTTGAAACTCTACAATTTGAAATATTTACATATACCTAGAATGTATTTTCTAAATTAAACCAATAGAAATATGATATAACTAATTGACTCCTGAATCTGTCCTATCAAAAATTGTTTAACACTTTCCAGTTTTTATACACATATTTAATGCAAACGCAACTTGCTCAAAATCAATCGACACAACATCTGTAACATCTGGATAGAAAATCTCTGATACATCTGAAACAGGCGTTTAAACAGCTGCAGAACCAGCTGAACCAGCCTCTGTTAAGAACATCAGGATTCGGTATTCCCCTATACAACTTGTCACACAGTCTCCATTTTTCAATGTTTCCTATAAGGCTAACGCCTTCAGCGTTCCGATTAGCTGATCTGTTATTAATGATGGCAACTCTCCATCCGCATTCCCTACGGAGATCATTTAGTTCACGGGGTGCCTCGCGAAATATGTCTTCTATGTCCAAACCATCATTTTCTATGTCATCACCGTGAGTAACGACGAGGACAGCATGTCGCAGCATCTCGTTCCCGAAAACTGATCGTATGAGTTTCATGGTTTCAACATCATCACGTGTGAATAAGGAGACCTTAACAATGATGCAAAAGACATGTGGACCTGGACGTATCATATCAACAGAAGACGCAAGTTGTTCCAGGTGATGTCTTATATTCGTATCACCAACAGTGAACCCAGGAGTATCCACGACATGGATTGTTCTTCCATTGACGTTTCCGCAACCGTATTCTGGTTTAGTGATGCTGGAGGATGATAGACACGTCTTGAAAAGGTTTTGACCAATGATGGTATTCCCTGTGCTGCTTTTACCAGAGGCCTTCAAGCCGACAAGAATTATTCTGATATCGCCTGCAATTGTGATTTAGGATTATAAGTCGATTGACTGAACAAGCATACTAAGTATTTCTTCGTGGTAACCAGACAACTCATACCCTAGACAACTCATCCCTGGACAACTTATCCCCAAGACAACTTATGATTATAAGTCGATTGACTGAACACGCATACTGAGTGTATCTTCATGGTAACTGGACAACTCATCCCCAACTTATGATTACAAGTCGATTGAGTCAAAGAGTATTCTTAGAATGTCTTCATAGCACCATGGACTGGTATTTGTACATTATGTGGTGTTTTAATTTATCATTTGCACTATGCTCAGTGTAGACAATAAGGTGTGCCAAGAAATATTAATAATCTAGATGAGATACTCCATACAATTTCTCCATACAGCATCAAACAGGATCATCAAAGAGACAAATAAGAAATAAAGTAGTCGATTTAATTTTGATTGACTTTGACTATGTTATTTGTAAAACTTTTTTTACAAACTCTAGGCCAATGATCATACCGTATGTTGTGATAACTTGAAAAAGTTTGAAATGTCCGATACAGGTTCTGACTATGTAGAATTCAATTAAAAAGAAGAATGTGATAGTATTTTTAACAGATGACTGATAGCAGGCACACGTATAAAAAATGGATGATTTAGTTTGAGGCACATCTTAAAACTACAACTACGTATGCCTTTCAATTCAATGATCCACAACTAGTTACTTTGACGGATGGATTTCCTGGATACGAGTTTTTTTCCCGATTTAAACCTACTAATAAGTCGATTGGCGAAATATCATTTGGCACAAATTTAGACAATATAGTCTAGCTTTTTTGAAATACCCTCGGTTTGGAATTTGATTTTTGGATAAAGCTGTAACTCATGCAATTAGACCATCGCTCTTGTTACATTGACGTAAGTCGTCAAAGTAACATACATCGGTAATAAAACGGACTTTCGTCAATGTAACAAAAGCGAGGGACTAAATATTTGAATTGCAACTTCATTTACATGGCAAATTCCATATCGAAGAAACCTATTAAAACTAGATTATATCGTATTTACTAGCTTTGTGCCAAATTATAATCTGCAACTTGACTTAATAGTAGGTTTAAATTGAGAAAACTGAAAACTCGTAACGAAGAGGTTCGTCCATTTTGTTACATTGACGTTCCGTCAAAGTAACTGAGTAAACTAGGCTATGGCTATTACAAAATGCAAAATGTCTGCACAAACATATACGGTGCGTTGGGCTTAGTCTACTTTCTTTTTCCCGTGTTAGCATTTTCTTGACTACGTCATGGGATAATGGAGTAGCCTAAGCCCAACTGTCCAGAAAACCAAGAGTTTAAATATTAGATTACAAAATTGTCAGTGTGAAATACACTCCCCTTCATAAGTCTGGCAACCTTAGCTTCCTCATTGAACTACGTGTTAAAGCCTCATCACGTTTGAATTTTTAATTACTTAACCTGCGATGAAAATATTTAGTATAATATTGATGGAAACGTAACTTGACTTTATAATTCCAATACCTCAAAATTTTCTCAATTTTTCCCCTCAATTACAATAGGTCAAAAATTGATGATAAATTTGATGAACTTTTGAAAATCGACATTCCCATGTTAACCAATGTGAAATAGTCATATGCCAGAATATTCATCCATTCGAGTCCTTGCAGAAAATACAAGTTAAAGGGTGACGCATATCGTTTAGCAAATCGAACGCTCGTTTCTGGTGTTGCTCACCGTTTAGTATAAAAGGCCCGATCCCGGAATAATACTCAAGGGTTCACAGGTTCGAGGTCGTTGTGTCAACACCTCTAACTGTTATATAGCATAAGTATATTATAGATCGTCACACATTTATAAAAGGGTGATTTTTATTTTGACAAATCAATTCCACATTTATGGGTGAAGTTTTAGGATCTTCTATTTGTGTACAATAAGGAAAAATTGGCATCTTTTCCCCATAACGTAATAGCACACAGCTTGGCAAATGAAATATCCTACAAATGAAACAAAGCAAGACAAAACCAATTTCTAATACAAGGATTTATATTGGCTGTTGTACATGTATTCTTTGAACGCAATCACTCTTTGGATAACGTTTTCAAAATCATTATAAACGGATTACTTTATCTCAAAGACAATTTCAATAAACTGGATTTTACAGAACTCCCCTTATTTCTTAAAAATGGACTGATCCAGTTGATTCGCCTGGAGCCGCCATATTGTTTTTATACGGGATGCTAATCGGAACCCTTTAAGTAGGCAATATAATTTGGTAACTTTATTTAACAAAAAATTATAAGTTTCTTCAGGTTCAACAAAGTTATAGGTCTTTAAAGTCAAAATTGTTTTTCAAAAAACCTCTCCCATTGAAATAACACAAGAGGCGAAAAATGATTTTCAAAAATGACTTCGAAGCTCAGTAGCTTTACAATTCATCAAGTAAACTAAACACTTAGCGTTCAAAAAAGTGAGACAATTAAATTTTCTATATAAAACTACTTTTTTGCTCAATCTTTTACTGAATAGATATCCTGATTTTTTATTTGCCCAGAACCCATCATTTCCCATTGGTTTACACGGGAATGACGATTTTCAAAAAGTCATCAAAGTTATCATCAATTTTTCACCTATTGTAATTGAGAAAGAAATTGCGAAAATTTGTAGGTATTAGAAATGAAGTCAAGTTACGTTTTCATCAATATTTTACGTGATCTTGTCGCAGGGTAAGTAAATAAATATTCAAACATAAAGAGGCTTTAACACGTAGTTCAATGGGGGAGCTAAGGTTGCCAAACTTATGAAGGAGAGTGTACATGTAGTAACATAAATCGTTACTTCTCAGTTGTTGTAACTAAAGTTTGTGTAACTAATAAGTAAGTCGGTATTATACCCAATGATATGATTGGTCAAAAAGTAATAACACCTGCTTAAATCTGTAAAAATTTGTAAGGTGTATTCCAATGAGGATTGGCTCCCAGGATCGACAATCCATATTATCCAACCAGTGAGAAGATTTCCCAAATATGACCTTTCGTATTAGAACGTTCGAAAACAAATTTTACAAACAGGCCTCATTCTTGCCATTGAAATGAATCTCCAAATGTTCGCTGTAGTTTTATGAGTATTCTCTACAAGTATGGATCGAATAACTTCAATAGTATTACCGTAGGTTTGAAATGATGATGTTGAACTGATGTTAACCCCATTCTAACGATTTCAAATTTAATTTTGCGCATGCGCACTACTGAGAGAGCATGTGCTCATAATTGTTCACGTGATCACATCCTGCAATTTGATTGGAGATGGTGCGAGAGATGATGTAATGGGGAATCCCCGAATACGATAGAAGATGAAAGAATTATGGGAGCTCTTCACTTCTTCTGTTATCCAACAATGAAAACATCGTAATGTCGTTATCGGAAACTATTACCGCCTATTAATTCAGAATAAACAGTCAAAAAGATTCATAGCAATATCACGATCATTTCTTGAGTTTTTGGAATTTCGTTAAGGGATAAGACCGAAATTCACGATTCAATTGTTGAAGTGAACAAAATGGCGGCTGTTTGAATTCAAATTTTGAATTGCGACACTTCAATGTATGGGACAAAATATCGATGTTGCACTCTGGGAGCCAATCCTCCTCAAGTCTATTCCATACAATAAAGAAATGCACTATCAGTGAATAAGTAACTGTGAGTACAATCATTGCATAGAAAATACTTTATGCATTGCTTATTAGATGTATTGTGATTTGGTCAATGTCAAGTGTATCAATCCTTTATGCCTACTTTCCCTTGAATATATGCAACAGTATATATTATTATTCCTATTATATAAATTCATTTGTATCAAAAAAATTGTGAAGAGAGAACTAACCCACTCTGGAAATTAGCAAACAAAGGCAACCTGGGGTATGGAACAGGTTAACTAATAGTTGGCCATGACCTAAATATGCGTTTGATCTTTCTAAAATAGGTACCGATGAAGGATTGAATTAAAAACAAAATCTATTTTATACGTTATAATTTAACTGACCTGCCTACCCTAAATACAGGTTACCATGGCAACCTTATCTGAGATTTAATCTAAGATGGGGCTAAAATATCTTAACATTGTATGTGTAATCACACAATCTATATGTTCTGAAAAAACGAGCGACATATCGGAACATATTACAAAATAGAGCATTTTTATCAGAATGTATGGATCGTCCCTGCTATGAATTAAGTTATTTTGCTTCTTTTCTTCATGAAACTTTCACAACATAAGAGACACATATCTGACATAAGTCCACAAAAATGTCTGGACTAACAACTTAATTGTGAAAAAGCAATGATTACTATGGTAACCGTTGTCATGGGTATTGGGGGGGGGGGGCAAAGTTCTGACATCACCCTTGAAAGACATTTTGAGTGTTAAAAGTAGTTTCATATATTACTGTTTAACGATTGGGAATGTAGTACAGTTTCAAATCGATTCCAGATTCAATTCCTGATCCACATTCAATTCACAGGTCCATGACCAGGAGGGTTCATCTGACCAAAAATTCTTTCAAAATCATGTTGTTTTTCACCACCCTGAGCACTTTCAAGTGATTTTGGGTCACCGTTGTGAAATGTGAACCTCCCTGGAATTTTTTGAAAAGTGAACCTCCCCTTGGCACTAGCTGATTATGGGCCATAGAATACACGATGTACTCAAAGTAGACAACCTTAGCATCAATGCACAGTTGCTTACTGAAGACCCCGCCCCCCCCTCCCATGGTACACATTCTTGAAGTGTGAGGTTAGGAAGGTGTTCACTGCAGACATCAGGTGATTGAGATTCAGGGAGAATATTCCTCTCAGATGCACAATACTCATTGAAATCATAGCTCTTTGTTAGTTAAAACATGATACAAACTGACGACATCAAAATTTGACCATATCAAAAGCTTTTATTAATCAAAATGGTTATTATTTGATGTATATTAACTATGATTCATCATGTTAACCCTCAAGATTGCCCCGCATACCCATGACACTGGTTGCCATAGTAACCATAACTTTATCAAAACTTATTTGATTGTCAGGAAATATTAATTAAATGATGTCAGATATATGTTCCTTATGCTGTGAAAGTTTCATGATGAAAAAGGCAAGATAACAAAAGAAGGTTGCAAAATTAGCAATACTTATTGAACGCCCCGTGTATATCAAATATGTATTAAGAAGCAAAAACAATATACCATTCAAGTGTTATCTAAACTACTCATATTCCTATCGGTTAAAGTGATTCCTAAAAAACTTCCTTCTATATTCAGGAGAGTCGTTATGCCCTTTTAAAAGCTTTGCTACTTCTTAACGAGCCATTTCCCGGAACCCAAAAGATATGCAATATAAAACAGACCCAAATTCCTTACTATAAACAAGCGATTTATCATCACCTGGCCGGGGGATATCATTTTATTTTCCAAAATCCAAAGCCCTACAAAAAACTTGTGTTTCGGGGCATTGTTTCTGAACTTTTCGTATCATGAATTCTAAAAACAAAGATAACGACATTTCTGATATTGTCCGTGATTAATAAAACGTCGGTAAGGCTTGTAAGGCCCATGCATAATATCCAACAAAAGTTCAAAGAATGATATTTAGATCAATCGTATTATTTCTGATAAACTGTGTTCAATCGAACCATCAACATGCCTTTTTCAAATGAATTCCAGCTTGTCCCGTATTGTTAATTCTTTCGTAAATCAACAACTAACGACCCTGCTTTTATTTTAGAAGAACGTCTCAGTTTAGATAATTCCTTATTTAAGATAATTTTATGAAGAAGGTGAACTGACGTAACACCCATCAAAAGAACGGCCAGGAAGGGCTGTTGATAATACAAGCAAATCGGTTGCATAGCAATGGATTACGAATAAATTGTTTTAGGCCAACTTAACGAAACAGTAAAGTTCGGACACTGCTTTATCATTTATCCAAACACTTGTAATATCGTTAATTTTAATTCCAACAATATTTAGGCTTTTATCACCCCATGCAGACAGAATAACTTAAATAATTTGTCACCAATGGAGCAAACTAATTTTTTACTGCTTGATAATGATGAATGACAGCCAAATTAAGTTTTATAAGTATGAGAATAGCATGATGTCTTGATATTTCAAGATAACGTCGTTTGAAAAATGATGGCGGTGACTAAAAAATATACATCACGTATCGAATTTTCCGAAACACAAAAAAAACATGTACAATTGTAAAGTCTTCAGGTCCGATTCGGATTCCCCATGGTAGCATTCCATTGATCTCGTATGTGTCGCACAATTAATATTTAAAACGCAACTGCTATTCGAACATTTTTGTTCTGACATTGGTATGATACTAGTATTACTTTATTACTTTGAAGTACACATCATACTTATGTCCGATCATAAGTTCGAAGTTGTGTTTCAAATATTAATTGTATGACATACACGAGACCAATGTTAATGCTACCAGGTGGAATTGGACCTGCAGGCCTTACCATTTATAAATGTTTTTTCTGTTTTGTAAAAATTCGATATGTGATGTATATTTCTTCGTTTTTTAAAGAATTCTACAAATATCCGTTGCGGTTTTCTCTTTACATCGCAATTCTAATCATCGCCATCACTATTCAAACCATCAAATTGCCTTGAAATATCAAGACGACGTGGTACTCTCATACTTATAGAACTCAATGTGAATGTCATTCATCATTTATAAGCAGGAAAAATTAATTTGCTTCATGGGTGGCAACTTTTTTCTAAATTCCCGGTGAATGTCGAGTCTCGCATCATACGAACGTAATTTTAGGCGATCTGTCTGCATGGGGTGATTATACTGAAGCACAGATCGACTTTTAACTGCATTGGTACACAAATGGTTTCAAGTAGAAAAACGATTTTTGTTATATAACTAACACAAAAATATAATCAAAAAACATTATATGAGACAGAAAGAGAAATTAAAAAATACAGCATATATTTCGGATTCTTGATTTTCATTTTAATCAAAATGGCATCAAAATATTCAATACATACCGTTGGTGGGTGTTTGCTGTCCAGCCATTTCGACGAGTGCTCAAATTGCGCAGCTACGCGTTGATAAACGAAGAATACGATGTGAGGAACTTTCTCTGTGTGTCTCGAAAAAGTGTTACGAATCACTGTACATGCGTCTATATAACTGCAGTATATAATACTGTATGGACGGGATTGGCTAGTCGAATAGACCAATCAGCATTTTGATAATACATCACGAAAAATGCGAATTTATATTTCGATATTTACAGGACACTGATGATCCCCTAGGAACGAGTTCATCGCTACATATTCTTTGGATGGATGACGTCTTCGGGTTCCACAAGTCCACACCACGGCGTTTTATACGAGTCGTGAACCACTCACTCAAACACCCAGAATTATATAACGCACAAACAAACTTGTCTGAACCGGGGACCAAGCGATATTGGTAACCCTGAGCTATAGCGGGTGGACTAAACAAACACTAGAAATAAATGTAAAATGTATTTTACGTTCAGAAATACGGAATTAAACCCATGTCCTCCACTTGCAACTTAACCGTACCCTGTTTCTCTTTTAAACGTGGCCACGTGGTAGGGTAGTGTGTATTTATCATTCTGATACACATCGCATCTAAAACCCTGTCTGTGTTTAGTTGCTCTGACTTTCCGTGCCAATCCTGCCATTCGAGGGGGGCGGGGCTTCCCATACAATCTTAAAATTCCAGGGAAGTTTACTCTTTCAAGAAAAGTTGACGTACACGGTAAATCAATTTATTTATTTCTAATATTATAATAATTCATTCGTACGAAAAATATGTAATTATTCGTAGGAACTGTTAGAAATAAGTGAATAGTTAGGACTTTGCAAGGAATTGACGGTTTGCGATCAGAAATTGTTTATTACACCGTTGCTATGCAGCTGCTTTCCAGTTTGTTGAGAATTCCCTTTGAGAAGTGACGTTTAAAATGTGTATTGTTATTACGAATTTGATTTGTCAGTCGATTTACCCTATACCATATTCCATGGCGATCTATGTTCTCTAAGAAGACAGGGCCGTGGTATTCCATGATGGGGTTCCATGCGATTTCGAAAAATCAGTTTCTCGTCTTCTAGCAAACGAATGAAATACAGTAAATTCTAAGAAATGCAGCCAGCTATTCATATGACGCCAGTGACGTAAGAGATAAGCATGATATTTTCATTTTGTTAAGGTTGAAATACGAGGCTCGATCAAACAGTACCTTACCAAATGCTCTTATTTTTGTTTTGTTTTTTGAATTGAAATTTCCACGTAATGTACATGAATCATTGCTTGTAAGACGACACAAAATATTGATGATTCTGTATTCGAAATCGAGTAGGGTGGAGAAGCTTTCTCACTTTCCGTGTATCAAGGTGATTTCACACCTTATCCCACGATTAATGTGTTATCTGTACAATTACAGCTATTGATATTTCTGATATTATTGAAATCCGTGTGATATTTTCCAGAAAATCGTTTATCAAACTCATATGCGTGTGATATCGTTTATCTCACGCATATCCGTGTGATATCACATTTGCATTTCGCGCCACAATATTGTTGGAAATTAAGTCAGATAATTTATTCTCTTTTGAGAAAATAGGTCCGTTCATTTATTTTCTTTAAGTTTCATTGGTGTATTGAATTACGATTGTGTATATAATTTGATTAGAAGGCTGCTAACTATCGATTAAAATGGTATTTATGACGAACTATATCATGTTATTTACTTTTAATTGTTAAAATAAAGTGTTTCAAATATTCAATTGATATTCTAATTTCTAGTTTATATTGTCTGCCAATGTCCTGGAAATTGGATCAGAACATCACAAGGTGATTGTAATCATGGGATAAACCCAATATCACATAATTTCTCGTGATATCATTTTATCGCCTCGTAGATATCAAATACCAACACTCATTCGCTTCGCTCACTCGTGTTGATATTTGATATCAACTCGGCGATAAAAATGATATCACTCAAAATGATGTGATATTCTGTATTTATACCATGGTCAGAGCAATATCAGATATATAATAGCAAGTGATTTTTTTAAATAATAGGTTTATTTCATTGATATATTTTTCATGGCATAATACACAATCATCCGGCAAATCGCCTTTTGGCATTGTATGTCCGCTTTCAATAACAGACGGAAATGTTCTTCAGATATGAGCCCCCTCTAAATATTGGGTGCGGAGTTACGTTTATGGAGCTCCTCCGCACCCAATATTTAGAGGGGGCTCATATCTGAAAAACATTTCCGAACTTTATAAAATCACACAGATACTGCCTGGCTTCCAAGATGCAAAACTAATTTGTATAGATAGTGTACCTTGAACACCATTTTTTATGAATGCTAGGGACTCAGTATTAAAAGGATAATTTCAAAATATATAGGTCTGGGAAAGGTTTAAGGCACACTGCGTCGCTATAGAATGAATTGCGCTACTATTTTCACAATTGTATTATATTTGGTGTCAAATACACATATCTTGGTGTATTTGAAGTCCAAAAACGGCTTAGTTTCAGAAATATCCCAAATTTAAATTCAAAAATGACCGTTAGCTCCGCACCCTCCGCTCATTTGCTCCGCACCCAATATTTCCCACAGGCTCTGTCTGCATAGGGTGTTTTAAAGGAGGCAAATGAAGGAAGGGACTTCATATCAGGCTAATTTCGTTGGAGATTGTTCTAGATCTCGACCATCTTGGTGATTTTAATAGCAAGTGATAAATCACATATTTGGGACAGGGACGATATCAGGGATGATATCAGGTTTAGAGGGATGATATTAGGGATGATGTTGATATCATCCCAGGTAAATTTAAAAAAATTACATTTTTTCTCCAACAATTAATTTTAAAAAAAACATTTTTTTATTTTTCCAAAATTTACATTTTTTCAAAATTTTTCATTTTTCCAAAATTATCTTTTTTTTGCTCTTGACCATGGTATTAAACAAACACTGGATGATCAGGAGCTGGATATGGCAGAATACCTATTCGAGAAAAAATATTGGGCGAGGCGGCAGCCAAGCCCAATATTTTTTCGAGGATAGGTATTCTGGCCATATCCAGCTCCTGATCATCCAGTATTTGTTTTATTATGCACCTCCCAATCAAAGTTAAGTGGAGTACTTACTTAATTACAGGCTTAAACTGTCGTTTAGTTGACATTATTTTGACATTTATTTTTTCTTTCAAAACTCAGACGACTTCCGGCCAGTTTATTCGCTAAACTGGACGAAAATATTTGCCCCGGGAATTTAATTTTTATTTATTCGAGACGTTCTTGCAGAATTATATGTAACTTTTGAATGATAAGGGTAATTGTGATTGATTAAGTGCATTTTTTTCTTTTATTTTCCGCCAGTTTCAGATGTAAGCTTTAAGTAGTACTCCAGTTATTAAGAAATAAAACTCTGAAGTGGGAATGTTGCAAAAACATTGAAAAAAATATCCAACCCTTTTTCTCGAAAGGGTCAGATATTAAAAAAATATCAGGCAGTTTTCAGAAAAGAGCAGAGTATTGCCAAATTACAAGCAACTAAGAACCAATCAGATTTGAGTATTTTAATGAGGTGCATAATAAAATGTTATTCAGTTGTTGGGATGATAATATCCCTCGGAATAATATACTCAATTCATTGCTACGTATAAGGAAAACGCAGCACATGCTTTACAAGCTTTCAAAATACTTCCTACATCTAGTGACATGAATACATGAAGTAGATATTCATTGGAATCAGGTATTTTGTTTTGCTCAATCTATTACTGCTTAAAAATGTTGACCTAGGAGGTTAGTATGACACGCTCGATGAATTGTAACGACAATGCATTGATGATGTTGATGCATACTACAAAGTAACAACAATGTCAATGTATTAAATGACAAATGGGATTTGAATAACACAGATACTTGTCTGTTTAAATCTGCTAGGCAACCAAAATGTGTTATGCTCGATTTTCAATACATTCCCAGAGAACTATAGGGTCAAATAGATGCCATGAAAACTTAACTTGTCATCAAAATGTTCAAATTATATCATTAAGCTCTTTATTTAAGCTACATCACTTTTCAAAAAGGCTAGACATAGGTTTTTGTGAGTCTATTTTGATGCCTCGATTTGCAACAGAAGGATTATCTTGCTCTCCAGAAAACATATATTAGTACAATGAAATTTTGGCTCAAATGATGTTGTATTGTAGTACAACTGAATGATAGGTAAAATCCAAGAAAATTAAAAAAACAGATAGTCTACAAATTTGATTTGATTTTAAATGGTTCTAAATGATCTTTGAATGCTTTCTATGATTGGCTGAGAATCTTATTGACAGCTTATAAGAGCTTTTCAAAGGTGCCACTAATGTGGACTGACTTAGAGACAGATGGACAAATCAATGATAACTTAAATGGCTAAAAATACAAAAAGGATAGAAAATTTGGGCAATTGTTTTACAAAATTATTTCATAAATTGACTGTTTTCAGTTAAATGGCTTTTTACAATGCAGGGTCCCTGAAATTATTTATAAAGACTAAACTAAATGGTTAATAAAAAGCGGATATACATTTTTGCCGATTTTTTCTTACAAAATTATTTTATAAAACTACTGTTAACAGTCACTAGGCTTTTTACAATGCAGGATATTATTTATAAATTGTTCAAAAGTGAATTTTGCGAGAAGAAATGAGCGGCTATTTTTAAGATAGGGAAGCTTTTGAACAGAGCGTCATGGGAAAGTTTTCTGTACTTATGTTGAGCAAAAAAACTTAAAACGGGAAACCTATCGACCGAGGTTTTATTAAAATGGTCAAAAAGTGGATTTTGCGAGACAAGAATGGCGGCCATTTTGAAAATAGGTGAGCTTTGGAACCAGGAGTCACGGGGGTTATGTATTTAAGTGATACAAAAATAATAAAAAACGCGAATCCTATCGACAGAGGTTTTCAAATTTGCCACTATTCTATGGACAGACAGACTGACGAACAGCAAACGGACGGACAGGCAGACAGACG